TTGGTTGAAACATGGGTCAAAACCAAACACTAACAAATTTTAAATCAACACAACCACATGAAAGAAACCTCCTATTGCGACTAAAATGCACCTAAATCAAAGACCACAGTTTCACACAAAGGCAAACATATTAAAATGGCAGGAGGAGTTACTATCCGAGAACCATACCAGTAAAAAAACCAAATAAAAGGCAGACCCCGAAATGGTTTTAGAAGTAGAGCCAAGGAATGAATCAAGTCTTAACCGGTTGAACCGCCAACAGGAAGGAAGAAGGCAACTCATATACGGAACCGTAAAGCTTAAGCGGGAAAGTGGAGAAAGAGGATCAGCCAATGAAAGCAACAAAACCAAGAGACAACCAAGCAAAATACAATCCGAAAAAAGCCTAAAGACCAATGAAAGGGCACCGAAATAACTAGACAAACGTAGACCGAAGGCGGAGTAAGCTGGCAAGACAAACACCAAAAGCTAGAATTGTGCAAGGTGAAGCAAACCCGGAACCCATGACAACGCCAACAACTAAGGCATGAGAGACAAGAACACAAAGCCAAGGGCAGAACCTTGTGTTAGCATTCACTTAATAAAGACATGTGTTTTAGTAATTTAAAAAACTCAGGACCCTAAATATGACATGGACGGAAATAATCTATTGGGATAGCAACTTTGAATAAGCGTTACTTTTAAGTTTCAAGCAGTGTTCTAAAACGCGGGTTAGGCGGGTGCCTAGGCGGCGTCCAGGCGCTATGTGGATTTCGGGCGTCCCGATTTTAGGTTATTCGGTGATTTATGCGGTTCTTAAAAATACAGATGTTTATGCGGTCTAGACGGGCGTTTATGCGGTCTAGGCGGACAATTACGCGGTCTAGGCGGATATTAGGCGGCCATATAAATTTTTTTTTTTAAGAATCACAATTTTTTTTATTATATTGTAAAATAAAATTGTTTATCATAATAATATTTCTTTTTAGCCTCTAAGGATTAAGTCTATTAGTTAAATTCATTTTGAAAATAAATGTAGACATTATATCTTTTATATTTGTATATATTTTGTAAGATTTTACATTTTAAGGTTATATACTTATATGTATATTTAAAACAAACTACATGTTCTTCTACATAATAATTTACTAAATTTAATATTTGAAATTTCTCGTTTCTAAATATAAAATATATTCATGTTTTATTCATTGTATATACAATATATTGTATATATATATATATATCATTTTTATACGTATATATATATTTAAAAAATAATTATCCGTCTAGGCTCTGCCTATACTCCCTCGTATACGGCTAGGCTCTATGCCTCTTTTCGCCGCCTAGTAAACGCCTAGCGCGTTTTAGAACACTGGTTTTAAAAGAACCAAATCAAATAAGATGAGAGGGGAGGGGAGTTATTAAAAACGAAGAGACGAATAGCGTGATTTGTGATTGGTAAATTCTCAAGTTTTTAATGGTTGTTGATGCCAATTTTCCAATTTTAGCCGATTCACAGAAAAAAATATATTATACACTTCCATTCAGTCTCTTATTCCCATTCTTCAAACTTATTATATCAGTATCATCCTATATGCCTTCGACTCAGTAGGAGGCAAATTATTTATCTCTTAGTAGAGTCTGTCAAGGAAACCAAAACAATCTACATTCCAGACGAAGAACAATTTAGAAAATACAGAATAAATCAAGAATTAAAAGAAATAGCAGCTGTACACTGTAGTCTTACTCAAGAACATGTGAGCCCAAAGTTTCGCAAGAATTAAAAGTATACGTCTGCAAATGAAGAAGGACCGTGAAGAACTCAAATGAGGGATTCAAAATCCTTCAAGTAATTGAAGTGACTCAAAAGAGAAGTCGTTTGGTTAGAGCCTAAGGTAGCCTCTTCTTTCTTGGACAATGTTTGGTCTCTTCTGAAACGATCTTCGGTTAAGAGACCAACTTCTTTTCATAGCTCTCATTCCCCACCAAGAAGCTATTCGACTATATAACGCTGGAAATCCAAAGCAGGACAGCACTAGAAACAGCATTATAAGACATATGTACATCACATTTCTAAATCCGTCTCCTAGCTCCGGTTTGTCTTGTCCTGTCCACGGAACTCCTCCAACGTTCATCCCAAATACTGGTAGTTAAAGCCACATTAACAACAACAGTGAGGTTGGTTAGTGTTTTTGTGACCAATGGAGACAGGGTACATATTGGAGTTTTTGGTGCTTTTCTTTACCTCCGGTTATAATTGATAGAGGAAGGAATATGATAGAAAGAAAGGAGAGGTAATAGAGCTTCCGATTAATTTGCTCGGCTTGCCAGCTATCTAGACCAGCTTGGATTGCGGTCACTCGGTTCGCAATGAAGCCCACATTCTCTTTTAAACGTCTTAACCGCCCAATCAACTCTTCCAAGGAGTTAATGTCTTCTGCCAGAAACCAAGGCTTCGTGGAACATTTTTCCTTCACTCTTGGAAATACTTGTTCTCCATGTGCAATTACCTGAGATTCAACAAATGTATAAGTCAGATTAGTTACATAACAAAGCCAGATTCTACTAAATCACAATAAGTTTTTCAAAAAGCAGGATGTTCTTAGAAGACAAAATAGTTACTGCAAAGACATTAAATCAAGAAAAAACAATGTCCTCAAAGCTTAAGGCTTGGTGATATATAGCATTACCTGCAAAAGGCGCTGCAAGTTGAGATGCAGTTTCGGGAACCTTCTATCATCCAACATCTGTTTCTTCATAGCAAATCCACCTATCGTCAAAAACGATTATTCATATGAAACCAACGAACAACAATGCAAAAATGTTCTGAATAAAAGTTGCAAATGTGCATAGAGCTGAAAAGAAATAAACAACTATTTCAAACAGACTCCCTGCCATGGCGCACAAAACAAATGGCAGTATTAACCTCTATGCATTTTGATATCACAGAAAAAAGAAAAGAAAAAAAATGCACTAACATCAAATAAGGTTTTGAGTAACAAACAGAGCTGTTGAAGAAGAGAGTGCTAACCTCTATCCATTTCGAGTTCCACCGCATCTAATTCGATCTCAAGTTTAGTTACAACATCTTGAAGCTGATCAACATGTGTGTCGATAATATGCACGACAAGATTCGAAACAGAACTTGGCACAGGGTTATCAGCTTCCTCAGAGTGGTTCATAGTCAGTAAGAATTCAAGAACATGCTCCTCTATGACAATGCCGCTTCTTTCCTTGCGCTCACCACGATAGTAAGATGGAGAATCCACACTAGGGACTTCCGAGAGAAGCGACTGACCAATAGGAGAGAATCCTAGCCTAGGAACTCGTCCTAAAGACACAGTAATGACAGAATTCTCAGTGATCCTAGCAGCAATTTTGAATGTAAAGCTGCTCGAAGCAGGGCCAGGGGAATTAACTCTAAAGACAAGCGCTCCATCAACATGGCCACAAAAGGGTCCGTTACTAACAAGAGAAAGAATGTCTTGAAGCTTCAATGGAGGACAAAGTGCGTCTATAAGATGCTGAGCGGATTGAGAGAGTTTATGGTTTCCTTTTGGTAACTCAACATGGTACCAACAAAACTCTTTCCCTGTTCCTTCTACAAGATCCCATTCTTTATTGTAGTATTTACCATCACCACCGAATATATAAGCTCTCTGCCTCACCATTCCTGAAAAATGAGCCCTCAATCTATGAGCGTCTCTATGAGGAGCGCTTGTGAAAGACTCAAGATCTGTCTCATCAACTTCATCTCCTCCAATTCGATCTTCCTGCTGCATCATGAATTGTTTTTTGTTGAAATTATACTTGAAACCGAATCATCCAGGCAGACTTCAGAGTAGAATAGAAACTGTTGTCATCAAACTTTCCTGAAACGAATTGGTAAATGCAAAATCGCAGATGATCAACAACAACAAGAAGATTGTAAATCTGGTAGAGAGAGATCAAACAAGATCGGGGATGATTAGCTTACCATGCAGGGAGAGATCGATCACCGGAAATTGATCAGAAGAAGCTGAAATTTATGCTTCGAATCGACGCGTGATATGTTGGGGAAGGAGGATGAAACAGTGAAATTACAAGGAAGAGAGAGAGGTTTGTTTGTTGATGATAATAAGGTCGGAGGAAGAAAGAGCTGGCGTTGACCGGAGAAACAAGTCGAATCTGTCAGACCAATCTCAAGTTTTTTGAGAAATAAAAAAAAGAAAAAATTACTCAAATCCCATGGAATTATGCGAATATGACTTCTTCGCCGCTCATCTTCGCAGATCTGGTGCGAACGTAGCTTTTTTGTGTGAGAAAATCTCTATGTCCCCTTAGACGGCGCCAAATTATGGAAGTCGAAACTAGCACAATTAGATTTGTAAGGGTTTCGAGAGGAAGCAGAGATTTCTAGGTTAAGCTACGAAAGAAACGATGAGTAAAGAGAAACGTTTGTTATTGCTGTGTATGCTTTTGTCAACAAAGTTGCCGATCCCCTTCAAAGGGTTTTTACATCAACTATATATAATGTTCCTAAGTCGGCTAAGTTTCCTAAGTCTTCGCGGATTCCTTCTTCGCCTATGTCGGTTTCGCCGAAGTGGGCTTCGTGACTGGACCGGGCTTGCTGTCTTAACTGGTCCAGAGGCGAAGCCCAACCCAGTTGATTGTCACCGCCATTTCGTGGGTATCGAGAGGTCATTGACTCGAGTCCTCCTCGTGCCGCCGTAGACATCGGTCATCGGGTCCATCGCCATCGGGTCCAATGTCATCGGATCTTGGATGACTTCGTTGCTCGCCCCGGAGACGTGACAAGATGTGAACAGCGCCCCGAGGTGAATAGTGACCCGATGTGAACAGTGACGCCGATGTGAACAGTGGCGCCGATGTGANCAGTGGCGCCGATGTCATCATCGTCGTGGGCGCTTATCGAGAGATCATCGGTGCCATTCCACGTCGGGTCCTCGGTGATGGTCGTTGGTGGATCCAAGCGACCTAAGGCGATCGTTTGCTCTATCCTGCGAGATGACTTAGGGGCCGTATTGTCTTAGGCGTCAAGAGTCTTGGTTTGGTCAAGATTTGAACGCTGACGTTGAGCGGGTGAAATCCGACCCCAAAAGGATAGCGATCTAACAAAAATAGTAGTAGTTGTTATTAACTCAACTAAAATTTAAATAAGAACCTTATTCGGTTAGGTTTAGGATTAGGTTAAAAACTCAATTTAAACGTTTTTTACAAACCTAATTTAAGTAAGTGATTGTATAATTTGGGTTGTAGACGTTTTTGCTGTAGCTGTAAGATGTTGGCTGTAATTTTT